GATTTTTAACAAAGAAAAAATATGCTTTATCCAAGGTCGAGGAAAGGAGGTCAAAGATACTGAACGCAGATATGATTTATGGTCCCTAAAGATAATGAATAAACCATCTAAATGTTGATTTTTCGACTAAAAAATGTTCAAAAAGTACGACTGGTTTACGAAGGCGAATACGATAAACGAGTTACTGAGTAAATTTTGACACTTAAAAGGATTGATGAGCACAATGGAAAGACAAGGGAAAACGTRCTTTAGCTTAGTTAAAAGCCCAACAGCTTAGTAGTAAAACGTCCTTGTTTGGGTTTATAAAATGAAGGGAAAGAAGAGAAAAGATTTTTCTAACTACGCGATAACTTTTCTTGTAGGGAAAAAAATGGCGAGAAAACGAAAGGCCAGTAGCTCAAATTATTTATCTTTTAAGAGTTTTAGATCGTTGATATGATAAAAAAAAGTATTGAACTTGATAAGTTAATGAGTAATTATTATGCTTACGTTAAATTAAAGATGTATAAACTTTTAAATCTTTGTTTTGACCGCTTTTCCTTTCAAGATTCCCGCCTTTAAAATTACAATTTTATTGTGACATTTTGGTAGACGCGTCGCGCCAAGATTTGGTTGCTATGTGACGTCACACTGTCATACATGACTGTTTCAGAATTTTAATAGGAAAACCATTTAAGTCATCTCCTCCCTCCTGGTCCACCCTTTTTGTTCCTTTTTTCCCATTAAAAGTGGAAGAATTCTTATCTGTTGCTAAATAACAGCAAATCTTACCTCAAATTATATGGTAACTTTTTCAGGACTATACAGTTGCACCTGAATCAGAATTTCCCTATCAAGACAAGGAGACCACATGCATCGATAAAGCAAAGTGAGTTTCGTTTGAGATATTTTGTTAATTAATATCCTTATATTTAACTTGAAACTAAAAGGCAAACCTCGAAGATATAATTGTGACCAAAACAGAACGAACAGCATAAGTTTACAAAGAGAGAAGAAAAATAAATAAATAAAATCATGACATCGTGTGGAACTAAAGCACCAAAGCTTACCTTTTTACCGTTTTTCTTCGCTTTTAAGTAAAGAAAAAAATCAAAAACTTGTGTCTTTGTTTCCGGCCACATTTTGTAAATCTCAGGATGTCTTTCTTTCATTTTTAAAAGAAAATTGCAAAATATTTAGAGAAAGACCGGACAAACATTTCCCCTTCATCCAGTTTCTGTTACATGTTGACCTAACGTTTTCTTCGCTTTTAGTAGAAAATAACGGAAAGACTTGTGTCTTTTTTCGTGTCCGGCCACTTCTTCAACAAATTCCAGAATATTTTCAATTCTTTTTAAAGAAAAGTTCCAAAACATTTAGAGAAAGTAAGTGTTTTAAATTTTAAATGCCGGAAAAACTTTCCTTTCCTTCCTCAGTTTTTGGCCATTTGACCCAAAGTAGCAACGCTGTTAGTGCAACGCCCGCGCGCTGGCGCTTCMTGAGTGCGCGCCAAAAAAACCGGTTTTTCTGGTTTCTAACTCGTTACCATTATATTGGCTTCTCTGAAAAAAATGAACTGAAAGCGGAAAAAAGGCGCGAAATCTTTGTAAAAATGGACTATGAATAACCAAAAATGAAAACAATTAATAAGGAAAACTTGTTTACGAAAATTTGAACCTGCGTATTATCGGGTTTGTAAAAGTCTATTAATTCTTTTTCAGGCATAGCAAAGAAGGAGTGCGCATCTCCGAGTATTGCTGTTACGAAACGTGAGTGAAAAGTTGTTGAATTGACCCTATTTCGATCACTGAAACCTTTACTGAGATAATGAAGTAGATATCAAAAAGAACCTATATTATATATTAGTACCTTGTCTTCTTACACCTTAAAATCAATTGTTGTGTTGTATTTTTTTCAGTGCTAATGAAACAAATTTTATGCAGCCCATAGTAGCATTTATCGGTCCCATGGCTGTTAATGTGGATGCAACACTCTGGCATGACTATTTGGGTAAAGACTTGTATTATTTCGCTGACTTTCTTTATGTGTTCTACTAAGACAATATTTTCTTCGCTTCCTTGATTCTTTTCTTGCTTTCCTGCGTCTTTCCTTGTTTCGATTTGTCCCTCTCTCCGATCTCCCTCTCCTCTCCCTGCCTTCCATCTTCCTTTCCTCCCGTTTTCTTTCTCCTTTCCTTTCTCCTTTCCTTTCTCTTCTTTCTTTCTTTGTCTTCCTGTGGAGGCCTTGTAATGGTTAGGTTTTTTGACTTAATAATTTAAATCTCCCCAGGGAGGTGAGACATTTGATTTCAATGACTATTTCTGGTCTCACTGATTATTTCTAGGTGGAATCATTCAATATCACTGTACAGATACAGACATCAACCATGCTGTACAGATCACTGGATACGATGAAACAGGTACGACCCGTTTGCCCGGCAATTCAATTGGATTCGGACATTTTAATTTTATTTACTGTGAAAGCGAAGAGCCTAGAGCTTGAAATAACACAGGGGGTTTTCCGTCGAAAACCACTAGAAAATTTCTAATTTTGGAAACTTGTGTACTGCGCATGCGTTGCAATGAGAAATAGTAAACTTGTATGAGGAAGAGGAGTTTTACCTCCGTCTGCTCGCCACCAAAATAAAGGAATAAACGGGAATCATTTTAAGGTGCTTTGAATAAGTTCTTTTTCTTGATCATAAGGTGAAGTTCCATATTGGATTGTCAGGAACTCTTGGGGAGCTGATTTTGGAGACAAAGGTTATCTGTATATCAAAATTGGTAAAAACCTTTGTGGTAAGTCTCTCTATATCTCTCTCTAAGTCCCCTTAGATGATGTTGTGTATCGTATTACACCCCCTCCCCC